TTTTCGTGCTTGGGTTTCAGTTATACAGTGATCAAATACCCATCCCTCCACCAGTGCCCATTTCCCACCACCACGGATCCCAGGATCCCTCCCACCCCCCATCCGCCCCATCCCACCCTGCCTCTGTGGCAGGGCATTCCCTTTGGTTCTCTCTCTCCTTTTGGGTGCTGTGGTTTTCAAGAGAGGCATTGAGTGGCAATCATGTTTGGTCTATAGTCTACTTTCGGCATGCTTCTCCCATCCTGGAAGGATCCTCCCAATACCCTTTATTTGGTGTTCCCTTCTCTATCTGAGCTCCCTTTTCCCCTAGCATGTGTAGCTGGCCTCCAAGCCATGGAGCAAAATTCCTGGTACTAATCTCGGCCACTCTTGGGTGTTAGTTTTCTATTTTGTTGCTTTATGTTCCCCAGATGAATGCAATCTTTCTATGTCTATCCCTCTCTTTCTGACTCATTTCATCTTTGATTACTAGTTCTCTATCTAGTAAAGTCTCCCCCTGCGAGGATACCCTTGGCTTTAAGAGCATCCACGCTTTGGGCCCCATTCTCTCGGGCTGACTTCCCTCGCCGCTCATCTCTGGGCACCAGGAGGCCAGCCTTCAGTGTCCACATTCCCCAAGCCCTCTCTGATGCTGGTGGTGCCATGGTTTCCACCTGCCACTAGTTTCTGGTGCTCTCTTAGCCCTATCCATGCCTCTCCCGGGAGACTCTCACCGCCAATCATCTGGGCTGAATGAGTCCTCTGACCCCCTGGCCCACCGGAACACCCCCTGTGCGACAGCCACTGAGCTGAATGGAAGAGGCCACCAGCTTTCACCATCGCTAAGGTGCCATCCAATAAATGGGGCCAGGCACGGGTTGAGGCTGGAGCAATAGTACATCATGCTTGCAGTGTATGTGGCCAAGCCAATCCTCTGCACCTGTATGGTGCAAACCAGCCAGGAATGATCCCTGAGTGCAGAGCCCCGAGTCAGCCCTGAGCACTGCTAGACATGGCCTGTAAAATAAAAAAAAAAGTGGAGCTTTTCCTGTTAAGACCAGAGACTGGAAGCCAGGTGACAGGCAGGGTGCTGGGGCTTTGAGCTCAGGCTTTGGCACCCACAGACGGTGACATCTCAGGAAGGCTGCCTGTCACCCCAATTCTCTCTTCTTTGGCAATCCAGAGTCCCCCTGACTGCTGCCACAACCCTGCCAGGAAGGCTGGGCTGCCCGGTCCGGACTGTTTGTTCAGCAGGAAATTAAGCAGCAGGGCAATGCCAGGCCCAAATGAAGTCCAGGCCTTCTGGAGACAGGAGGAGCGAGCCGGAGGCCTTCCAGAAGGAGGCAGGCCAGGTGGAGGGTGCTGGGGGGCAGAGGGGTCTGGCCTCCTAGAGCCCCAGCTGTGCCTCTGACTAGATCACGGACCAACTGTCCTGGCCAGATGCCTCGAGTTTCCTTCCTTCACCTGCCACCAGGGACTAAGACCCACCTCCGGACAGCGCCGGGGGTCTGTAATGAGGTATCAGGTATCGGACACAGGATACTGTACTGGACATGGTTTCAGCTCCCAGAAGACTGATCCCTGTTATTCCAGGAATCCTAACTGGCTCATGCCTCCAGTGATTCCCGGCCAGAGGAGGCCAGCGAAACCCGGCCGAGCCCACCAGCTGGACCAGGGGCTCAGTACTCAGCCCCCCAGTCCCGGGTTCGGGGCTCTGCTTCCCCTGGAGCTGCAAGATGAGGGCACCCACCGGGAACTAACGCACGTTCGGTGAGCTGGGAAGGGCCAGGATCAAAGCGCTCTGAGGCCGACCGGGGCGCACCAAAGGGAGGCGAGCGCCTTGCATCAGCCCGGATTCCGTGATGCTCTGCAGACGTCTCGGGCTGCTGTGCTTTACGGGAACCCACAAGAAAGGAAAGGGCCGGGGAGCAGGCCGGGCGGGGGCGGGCGAGGGCGCGGGGGTGCGCTCCTCCGCCCGCGCGCGCTCCCGGCGGCGCCTGCCCCGGCCTGGGTGCGCCCCGGGCGGGCGGGCGGGCGGCGGCCGCCGAGGAAGCTCCCGCTCCCTTCCCCACCCCCCGCATTACTGGAAGGGCTGTGTGGGAGAGACCCAGAAGCGCCCGGATTTTCGAGTGGGGGGGTGGGGGAGGGCGGGGTGCCCCCCCCCCCGCTGCGGCTCAAAGGAAAACCAAAAGTGCGTCTGTGCGCGCCGCTGCAGCACGCGGCCGCTCCGGGAGGGCCCCCGGCCGCCCCCCAAGCCCGAGACCCGGCGCGGGCGGCCGAGGGGCCGCGGCCAGGCGAGGCGTGCGTGCCAGTCACGACTCCAGCTCCCCAGCTCCAGCCGCCCCCTCCCCCCCGGCGTCCCCACCCCCCCGTTTTCTGGGTTTCTGCGCTGCCGCCGCTGGGGAAAGGGTGATTGGGTTTGCGTCAAAGGACCGCATTTACCCAGTCCTGCTGGGAGAGGCGCGTCAACACCCCGGCAGGCAGAACGCAGGGGTGGGAAAAACAAAAACCCAGGGCCCGGCCGGGACGCGCGCCCGCCAGCCCACACCCCCTCTCCCGGGGGCGCGGAGGCGGGGGCCGGTGCCCGGCCGAGGTGCGAGGAGCCCGGCCGGCCCGGCCCGGCCACACGCGTCCTTGAGGATGGAGCCCGGGACAGAACGTGTTTTATAGCTGTAAACAATGACCCCGAGTATTGTTCGGGATTACCGTATCTCGGGGCCACTGGGGCCGCCAGATGCCGCCAGCCGTCCCGGAAACGCCGGCGCTTTATATAGAGCCCCGGGAAAGATTTGAGTTCCCGGCTCTATTTTTCTTTCCTAGCAACACCCCCACTTTACAGATAAGGAAACTGAGGGCCGGAACTGTGATGCTGCGTTACAGCCGCGCCGCAGCGCGCCTCGCCGTCGTCGGCTGCCTCTGCCTGCCTGCCTGCCTGCCTGCCTGCCTGCGCGGGGTCCGCACGACAATCCCGGGCCGGGTGGGCGCGCGGCTGGAGGCGCTTCCCGGCCGACCCGGGTCACCCCAGCACGCGGGTGCTGGGGGCACAGTCCCCGCGAGTGGACTCCAGTACAGTGCTCCCCCAGCCCCTCCGAAGGCATGGCGTTCCAGGGCTGAGCTAAAAGCCTTCGAAGGTCATTCATCCCGGCCCCTTCCATTCGTAGGGCGAAACCGCGGCCCAGAGACGTCGAGGGACTCGCCCAAAGCCCCACCGCTCGTAAATCGCACAGCCTGGCGTTCGGACTCCGAGGTCCGTGCTCTTTACCCAGCACGGCAACCCCGCCCTGTCCAGCGAGGCGGGGCGACCCAGGAGTCCAGGCGACCTTTTCGCTGTGAACTTAGCTCCCCAAACACCTGAAGCCCTCGTTAGGGCCCGCCCGCTCCTGGACCTATCTCCTTCCACTTCCAATCAACATACACACACACACACACACACACACACACACACAACAACAAAAAAAAACCACCCAAGTCTGGAGTTCGCTTGATGCAGTCCAGGCGATCGCGATCAGGTCGGGCCTGATTGCCCGGCACCGGGGGCGGCCCGAAGGAGGTCGGGGCTGCTTAATTTCGCCTTCAAGGCTATTCTTACCAAAATTAATTGTAGGGCTCCCCCGCCCCCTTAAAAAAAAAGGGAAGCAGTGGGCAGCCGGCCACCGAAGGGAAAACAGGCGGGCGGGCCTCGCCCAGCGGCGCGGCGCCGCGCCCGCCCAGGCCGGGCCGCGGGTACCCGGTGCGCCCTGGGCGCTCGCGGCACCGGGCGGCGCCGCCGCCGGACCGCGCCCTCCCTGCGAGCGCCCCTGCGCGCCCGGCTCCCGGCCTGGCGGTGGCGCCGCGCCGGGCCGCCCGTCTCGCGCTCGGGACTGTGATTATTTTCCCAAGCCCGGAGCCCGGAGGCCCGCGCGGCGGCGGCCGCTGTCGGGGGGCCCCGCCCCGCGCCCCTTCTCCGGGCGGGGGAAGGCAGGGCGGCCGCGGCGAGGGAATCCCTCTCCCTCCACGTCACCCGGGAGCGAGGAAACCCGCACTCGCGTCCTCGAACGCAAATGCCCATCTTTGGCGACGCGCGCCGGTGGAACAGACCAAGGGCTCGGGGTGCTGCGGGTGGGGGGCGGAGAGGGGAGGGGACGGGCCGGGCGGAGGGGAGGGGGCGCCCCGGCGATCGCGCGCGCGCCCACCCCCGCCGCCGGCTTCCTTCCTCGCGCCGGGTGTGCGGCTGGCGTCAGCGCGGCCCGGAGCCGGCCCCGAGGGGAGCGCGGCCGCGCCCGCCGCCTCCTCCCCGCGCGCCTCTGCCTCCACCCCCCGCCCCTGCGCCCCGCGCGCTCCTCCCCGCAAGGTGGAGTCTGGGGTTGACGTGAGTGAATCCACATGGTACAGGGGCTGGAGAATAAAGAGTGTGGAGTTGAACTCGTGCCATTGTAGTGACTCATCTCGGGCTGAGCGCAGGGGCTCCGAGCGCAGCGGAGAGCCAGCGAGCGGCGCTCGGCGGAGGCACCGGGAGCACCGGGCGACGGGGGTGGGCAGCCGGCCGGGCCGATCGAGCAGCGACGCGCGCGGACCAGGCCGGGCCGGCCGGTGGCCGAGCGGGCGCCCCCCGGAGAGGGGCGCGGGTCGGGGCGTCGCGGCCGCGCAGCGCTCGGATCGCCCCCCGCACGCCTGGCAGCCCCGGGCCGGCCTCGGGCCCCTTCCTCCCCGCCGGGTGTCCGAGCCGCGGCTCCGCGACTCGGCCGGACGCGCGGCCACAGGAAGTTTATTCTCGGCTCCCTCTCTCGAAGGAGGAAATAGAAGTTGCTCCCCGCGCGGGCAGCCTTCCTGCCGGGGCCCCCGTGCGCCCGGCGTGCCCTCGGGGGGCTGCCAGGCTGCCGGCTGTTTTTTTCTTTCTTTTTCTTTTGCCCCCCTTCTCCGTTGCCCCCCTTTGGCCTGGGCCCCGGCGGTCCCGGCTGCGGCGTCGGCGTCGGCGGCAGCGGCGGCGGCGGCTCGGGCTGCGCGCGGGGGCGGGAGGGCGCGCGCAGGGGAGGGACCCAGGGACGCGCCGACTTTTTTAGAGGGAGGGACTGGGTGGACCACGGTGCCCGCGGCGCTCGGACGGCCAGAGAGGAGTGCGGCGCGCGGCGCTCGGGGGCCACAGTTCCCAGGGGTCGGACCGCCGCCGCCCGCGGGGAGAAGCCCCCGGGAGCGCAGAGCCGGGCGAGCCGGGGGGCGAGCGCGCAGCAGCCGGAGTGCGGCGGCGAGGGCGGGGGAAGGAAGACACCCTGTTTCCTCTCGGGCCCCCACCGCGGATCATGTACCAGGATTATCCCGGGAACTTTGACACCTCGTCCCGGGGCAGCAGCGGCTCTCCTGCGCACGCCGAGTCCTACTCCAGCGGCGGCGGCCAGCAGGTAGGTGCCGGGGGGGCGCGCGCGCGCGTGTGCGTGTGCGTGTGTGTGTGTGTTGGGTGGGGGGCCCGGGGTGCACCTGGCGCCCGCCTTGCACCCCGCCACTGCCTTCTTTCTCTGGTTTAGCTTTTCCTTGTCTGGTCCGGGCGCGAGAAGATTCCCATCAGCCGCCCCCCCCACCCACCCCCCACTCCTCCCGTCGCTCAAAGTTAAGGTTTTCATCTCGTCCTGCCGCGTCCCCACTCGCCACTTCCCCGCCCCCACTTTTTACTTTAAGCCTGCGCGGGGAGTGGGCTTGAAGGGTGGAAGCCAACCCCTTTTGCTTCTAACCCGGATCCGTGGATGTGCGCCCCTCGCCTTCTTCCTTTGCTCCCCGCCAACCTGTTACCTCCTTGCAAGAAGTGCTCCCCTCCCCGCGCTCTCCCGGCGGACGAGAACATCTTTGCAACCCCGGGTTTTGTTTTTTTTTTTTGGCTAGTGCCGGGGATCCTGTTCGTGCGCCAAAGCCCCCCTCTCCGTCTCCCTCCCCGCCCCCCCCCCCCCCCCGCCCTTGCCCTATTAAGATCTGAAAGAGCTCCGGGGGGACTCGGGAACACGGGTGGGAGAGGGGGATACGGAGCGCCTACAGGTCGTGGGAGTGAAGGCGGGTGGGTGGGAATCAGGTGCGAAGGTCAGTCACAGAGAAGAAGGAGCGCGGGGCCGGCAAAGGCCCGGGACGGCTCTGGTGCCTCGCGCCTGTGTGAGTCCCTTGCAGGAGACTCCAGCAGGGGCTGTTTTGAGGGTCTGGGGGTCACTGCGGGGAGAAGTGGGGAAGGGGCGGGGGCGCGGCGGCGGCGGCGGCGAGAACTTGCTTAGGCTCCTTGGGTGGGTCTGAAAGTAGAAAAACAACTTGTTTCTAAAGCAGCCGGACTGGTTTGCACGGGAGGGTTAGTGCGTGCGATGCGTGTGTCTATAAATACCAGAAAGGCACTGCCGGGCTGGTGCTGATGGTGGGGTGCTTGCTCTCGGCCCCACCCCCATCCCCAGCTCAGGTGAGACCTCGGGGAGCCTCTAGCCTAGGCGGCTGGGGCTCTCTCTCTCCTCTGGGGAGGCCTTGGCCTCCTGCAGCCAGACCCGGGGGGCGTGGGGGTGGCCCGTGGGGAGTCAGGCGGTGGGGGTGGCATACAGACCAGACAGTAAATAGGAGACGAGACTCTTTTGGGACCTGAGGAGGGAATCCAGTATTCCACGGTGACTCCCTATCCGCCAGGGAGCGTCCCAAAGAGCTTTTCTGTGTCTTTGCTCTGGTATCCCCATAAGCTATTGCATGAGATACAGTAACAGCACCTTTAGCATTGAGCTCCATGGGGATGGGTGTTCCCCCTCCACCCCCCCCCAACACACCCTCATTTTACCCAAAAGTGCTTCCCAGCCTCCTTGGTGGTGCGTTTGGGTCAGAACATCACTCGGTCGTGGGTGGGATACCCGTTCCCGCGCTCTCCAGCGCCTACATGTCCCCTGCCTCCTGCACCCAGGGCAGAGCAGAGAGGGAAGTTTGACTGCTCGGAGGCCATCCTCCTGGAAATACCACAGCCTCACCTCCTGGCTTCGCTCAGACCCTGGGGCCTGCCTGAGAAGTCAGACCGGACGGACATCAGGACCCGACTGAATAATCTGTGTCACTAGGGCTTTGGAGCCCAGGATGTGAGCGGAGGCAATTCCCTGTTTTGGAAGAAAATCAGACAGGAAGCCAGGGTGAGGAAGAAGGAAGAGGACTCAGTCCAGCAGGGTGTAATGGGGCCTCATTACCGAAGAAAAAGCAGCTGTTGGCTAATTCCTAGCATGCTGTAACACATGAGGGTTTTGCAATTAGCAATCACCAGCGCGCAGGGTTCTGAAAGGCGCCTGCCCATTCGGCCCAGCCGCAGAGGCGCTGCCACCGGCGGGCACGGTCTGCCCGCTCTGCACAAGTCTCCCCAGGTCCCGGGATGGGGGTGGGGGTGGGAGGAGTGATTTTTCCCACCCTCTCTCCAACTCGGGAGCCAGGCTAGACGGTGGTGCAGAGGGCTAACTTCTGAGGCTTTTGTTACTTCACAAGTCTGTGCTAGGGCACCACCCCATCCCAGGCTCAGGGTAACTTTATTGCATACCAGATCAAACCTGTAATCACTTTATTTCTCACACCCTCCTTTAGCAGTTAGCCATGGGCCTCCCCCCTTCCCCTTGGGGCATCTCAGTCAACCTGTCTTTGTCTGGGGTTGAGGGGTGGGGGGGTGAGTTCTCTGGTTTTTCTCTTAGGCAAGTGAATATTATTTTTTCTTCGACTCTTTTGCTTCTGGGGTCTAATATTCCTGATTGGGCCTCCCCCCCACGGCTATTTACTTAACTGAGGACTTTTTCTCTTCTCTCTGGCTTTCCAGAGCTTGACCACAACACATGGTTGGTCACTTGGGGTGGGGGGGGGGGAAGATAACTCTTTGTTAAAACGTCTGTTCTTGTACATGGCAGGAACTTGAAGCATGAAAACTATTTCCTGTTCCAGTTCATTTTAATCTCCAAGGTTGGCCACTGGTGATTTTGTTTTGTCAGTGATCGTTGCACAGGCCTCCCCCCAGTCTGGCCTTTTCTTTCTGTTGTTATTGTTGTTTTCTCTCTCCTGGCTTTCCTAGGAAAACACCTCCCAGATACGTGCCCGGCCTGGCTATTTGACTCTTACGGTTTCAGAGCCTGGGCGTTACGCAATCCAGCCAGTTACACAAACATAGGTCATTTCATAACTTGTTTTCATCAGCTGGGCCCCCTTTTCGTGAAGAAAAAAAAAAAAAGCAACACAACAAAACAAAAGCAAGACCCAAAACTTTTCCAGGGCTGCCGTTCAGCTATTTGCCAGATAACTGGGAAATCAAAGAGGACAGTTTCTTTTCAGAATCAAGGCATGTCATGAGAGTGTCTTTTCAGATACCAAGCCCCCTTTCCCGACACACACACACACACACACACACACACACACACGTGCATACACATGCGAACATGCAAACTCACACACACACACACACACACACACACGCACACACCCAGACACACAAAATTCCCCAGAGTGAACTTTTGCCAACTGTACCAGGCTGGGACATTCCTCACATCAAAGAACTTTTACCAGAAATGACTGTGATTCCCAAGCCAGCCCCAATCGTGCCTCTCTGGCTCCCCCTGCTGACGCTCTTAGAACTCTTTTTGGAAATGTATTTTTCCAGCCCCAGAATTAATTGCTTGGTTAGTTGTCAAAATTCTTTACAGATTTTCTGCCTGATTTAGGGCAAAAACAAACCAAAACAAAACAAAAAAAGCCCAATATACCTAGCCATGGTTAATCAGGAACTTCTTGACTCTGAAATGCAGTTTCTTTTTAAAAATTTTGTTTTAAATAAAACCTGGTTGAAAAGGAGGGTTTTTATTTATTTTTTCCTTTCCCTGCCCCAAAGTGTCTGTGTTCGTTAAGCCATCCACACAGTGGATTCCAATACCTAAGGTGTTTGACTTTGTTGAGGTGCTTGTATTAGAACACAGGGACGGTGGTTCTTCAGGATTGATGGGAAGATGGAAAGAGTGTCAAAAAAGAGCCTGGTGCTTTATCAAAAAAAGACCTTCCTGGTGCTTTATCAAAAAAAGACCTTCCTTGCCTTGAACTTACAGATGTAGATTAGGATCAAGCCAGATGTTATCCCAGGATGTGTCTGTTCCGCTGATTCTTGGGGGTGGAAGTCAGCGGGACTTTTTCTTCAAAGTGCAGGGGTGAAGCAGTAATCATGTATTGTCCGCCTGGCAACTGAATTTTTCTCTCTCAAGCTCGGTGTGTTTCTGTGTTGTTCCTTCTGCCTGCCTTACGTAAAGGGCTTGTTCAGCTCAGGTGCAAGTTTTTTTCCTCTTCTATCTTAACACAGACACTCCCCAGAGCCTCCAAATCATTATTGTGTTTTTCCTGATTGATCCCTCAAAGGGATGGGTCACTACCAATTTGAATGCGGGCCTGGGCAAGGTTTTCTAGCACTTACAGACTTATATTCAGCAACTTCTTTTTTTAAAAATTTTTATTAGTGAAACACCATGAGGTACAGTTGTAGACTTACAGATTTTCGTGCTTGGGTTTCAGTTGTACAGTGATCGAGTACCCATCCCTCCACCGGTGCCCATTCTCCACCACCACTAATGTCAGTATCTCTCCCACCTCCCATCCCCCCATCTCACCCTGCCTCTGTGGCAGAGCACTCCCTTTTGTTCTCTCTCTCCTTTTGGGTGCTGTGGTTTCAGCAACTTCTTTTGAAAATCCTCCCTGCTAACAGCCCTGCTTCCTCAGAGGGTAGATTGGACATTTGGGTATCAGTCTAATCTAAGGTCATGTAAGAAGCTGATGTCTGTGGCCTGGACCTTCACCAGGGTCCATACTGGTATCACCAGGATGCTGGGGTGGGTTCAGGCTTAAGAGCCTGTCACCAAAGCAGCCTCTTTTTGCCATCTGTACCTTTTATTTCCCCCCACTCTGCTTAAATAGATCTGAAGATACCGACTCTCAGTGGTCAGGAAGCTTAACTTTCCGGGCTCGGGCGGGAGAGATAGGACAGGGTTAAGGCGTTTGCCTTGCACGCAAACAACCAGGTTTGAACTCGGGCATTGCCTGTGGTTCCTTGAGTATAGCCGGGAGTGATTCCTCAGCACAGAGACAGTGGTAAAAACTCTCAGCATAACCCAGTGTGGCCCAGCACCCTCCACCCTCCACCCCTTAAAAACAAAAGCAACAAAACAAAAACTACCACCACCACAACTTTCTGGTCTGTTTGTTGACAGCAAAAATTATAGCGTCATGACTTTGGGCTGTGTGTCATCCATGTCGTCACCCATGGTAGCTTTTGGTGGCCACGCATTTCAGAACAGCAGCCCCGAGTTAGGCAACCATGTCTGTTCCCAGTAGGAGTTCTCTGGCTGGCTCTGTCCCTCCTGCCCCTCTTGGCCACACTTCTCTGGCCACACTG